AAATAGTCTTTGGAAAAAGAGCTATTTACAGCCTGTTTTTTGTAAAATTCCAAACGAACGAATTCGAGTGACTTACGACCAAACTCCTTGGTTTTGAAAAATATGTCATTTATTTTTGTTTTGAATCAGAAAACATTTATAAACATAAATAAAGGTTTGGTCGTAAGTCACTCGAATTCGTTTGTTTGGAATTTTACAATAACAGCCTGTTAATCATGGATTTTTAAGGACTAATTAACATAAGCGTAGATTTTCTAAGAATATTTTTATATGTGGATTTTCTAAAAAAATATTTTTTAAATACTATTTTCAAAGAAATATGATACCGTTAATTTTTTAAAGAAAACAGTTCAAGAACTATTATAGGACTACCTTTTTAAAAATATATTCTCAAGGCTCATATTTTTTCAAGGCTTTTATTATTTTTTTCAAGGAAAATTGTAAATAATATTTTTATAAGGCTATATATTATAATGTTTTTATAAGACTATTTTAAGCGTATATTAAACAAAAAATCCAAGGAATCTAATGCCATGTACAGACGGGCGTTGTTCGCTCTCTCATTCGTCGTTCGACCCTTAATTATGAAGTAATTACTTAGTTCCCCGTACAAATTTTTTTGAGCGAACACCGATTTTTGTACGTAGTTCAATTCGAATCACTCTCCAAACAACAAAGAAATTCGTCCCATCCCTAACAATTGAGAGCATTTATCGAAAATAAATTAATTTTGACAGCTGGAAAATATTTATAAAATTTTGAAAATTTTCCAGTAAAATTGAAAATGATGAATGAAAAGTAACAAATTGTCTAGTTTTTATATATGCAGCAGGATGTAAATTTTGTTATCTTCGTAATGCAATATGCATTTTTCGCCCTTTGGTTCTAATTAGCGTGCAAAACAAGAAACCAATGTGGGGAAACCCACCTTATATAGGCCTTGTATGTGACATTTGAATTCAAAAAATATAAAAATGTATGAAAACAACAATATTTTCAGAAAAAATGGAAAACATGAATTAAAATTAAATAGATATGGGTTCATGCTATAGTCAGGAGAAAGAGATTCAAGCAAATATGTAAGAATTTTGGTGTAAAACAAGGAACAAAAGTTTGAAATAAAAAACTCTGATGACATGAATTATGAATAGTGTTGTATGAACGGGTTAATTCATGTACATAATTCTGAGAGCGAACTACGTTTTTCGAATGCCCGTCAGAACATGACATAATAAACCTGTCCCGGACTGTCCGTCTCTTGTCTACAGGCAGGTCAAGTTCGAAGATGGGATATATCGGTCCACGTTTAGGCATAGCCCCCATATAAGGGTACCGCCTAATTTTCAATATTTAGGGGATATTGAGAGCGCTTTTCAATCGAATTCGCTGAGATTTGGTATATTGGGTTCTATTTGGGTACCAAATGTCTCCACTAAAAATTATATAGATCGACTTAGTTCCCATATAACGGTTCCCCCCAATTTAATGTATTTTGGGGGCTTTAAGAGCGTTTTAAACCGAACTCGCTGAAATTTGTTACAATTGGTTCTTATTGGGTACACATTTCTTCACTAAAAATTATAAATATAGGCTCATTTTTCACAGTAATTTTGTAGTCGCATATGGAAACAAATCTTTCTACCAAAATTTATTAATATTCGCCACCTTTTAGAGGTAGTTCCCATATAACCCCCTTATTATATTAAAATAGTTAACTGATTAGTTCCGTGTGCAGGGGTTGTCTCATATAGGCGTATTCTACCATAGTATAGGGGATAGTCGTTACTCAAAATAGTCAGTTTTACACTACAAATTATGGAATTCTAAGACGATTTAACCATCGGTTGTAATCATTCCGCTTTCTTAGGAAATCATGATAAAAAACTCGAACCTGACGATAATGATATATATCGGCCAGCATTTAGGCTTCTCCCCCATATAATTATACCTCCTGAATGAAAGAATTGAGACACAAATATTCGCTAATTCCGACACTATGTAATCTAAATTGCAGAAGTTTGAGAATTGCATATTCTACCATGCGTTATTAGTATCAGTCCACGCTTTGGGGTTTTCTTTAAAAATTGCTGAAATTTGTATTTGGTGTAACAATGTTTACAAAAACCGGTTTGTAGAATTATCGGTATAGGTTCACTTTTTTCATTTCAAGTATCTTTCGGTGTACCTTTGGTGGAGGGTATCCAAAGTTCGGCCCGGCCGAACTTAACACTTTTTCACGTATTTAAAAACATTTTTCAAGTGTTAAAAGCCTGTATTATTTTAAAGAATGTTTTCAATGACTCTTAAAAGCCTTGTTTCAAAAATATATTTCAAGGAAAGTGTTTTTTTAGAAAAAATATCAAAGAGTCCTAATGGTGATTTAAAAAAAAATGTTTCAAGAAATCGTGGATCTTTTCAAGAATATTTTTCAAGGACTACGAGAAGCTTGGATCTTTAAAGAATATTTGTCCCAAGGGCTTTTAGAAACGCCGACTTTTTAAAGAATATTTTTCAAGGACTATGAAAAGCGTGGATTTTTAAAGAACATTTTTCAAAGCACTTTTAGAAGCGTCGATTTTTAAGGAATATTTTTCAATGACTACGAGATGCGTTGATTAAAAAAAATATTTTCCTAAAGACTTTAAGAAGCGTGGATTTTTAAAGAGTATTTTTTCAAGGACTGTGAGATGCGTTAACTTTTTTTTAAATTTTTTCAAGGTCTTATAGAAGCGTGGATTTTTAAAGGATATTCTTTCAAAGACTAAAGAATATTCTTGCAAGGACTAATAGAAGCATGTGTTTTTTAATGAATATTTTTTCAAGGAAGCATGGATTTTATAAAGAATTTTTTAGGGACTATGGGAAGTGGAGATTTTTTAAAGAATTTGTTTAAGGATGGCTATGAGAAGCGTGTATTTTTTAAGGTCTATGAGAAGCGTAGATTTTTTAAGGACTATGAGAAGTGTGGATTTTTTAAGAACTATGAGAAGCGTGGATTTTTAAAGAATTTTTCTAAGCACTATGAGAAACGTTGATTTTTAAATAATTTTTTAGAGACTATGAGATTTTTTAAAGAGTTTTTTAAGGACTATGAGAAGCGTGGACTTTTTAAAGAATTTTTTCCCATGACTATGAGATGCGTGGATTTTTAAAGACTCTTTAGTTTGCATTTTTAAAGAATTTTTTTAAGGACTCTTCGAGCTTGCATTTTTTACAAAATGTGTTAATGACATTCTGGATTGAAGGTCGAAAAGCATTTTTGCGAAAATATTCGACATAGGTCCATGTTTTGACAAATAAAGGTCTCGCCACTTTTAGACCCAAGTTGCTTTTTCTGGCATTTCAGTTTCTTGGCGGACTGAAAAATATATTTTCAGGAAATTTTAATATGTTGCATACATAGCTTCCGCTATAAAGATTCCTCCCCCCCTCGTCAGTATTTTTGAGAAGGATTTAACCGAAATTTCCCATAAAAATTGCTGTAATTTCGTATTTTTGCTGGCCAATTTTTGGGATTTTGAAGGCTTTGTTTGTATTTTCCCGTCAAAGTGATTGTATTACGGGTTCATGGAGGACAATATATGTATATATCAACCGAAAATCTTAGATATATGTCCATGGTTTCGATATTTTGAAGAGTTTAGACGAATTTCCCATCAGAAGCGTTTGTAAAAACTTGTTTCCGGAAAATGTTCAAATAGATCCACATATCTTCAAGGTCTATTAGGCAGGCTCGTTCAAGAAATATTGTTGCAAACATCCATATTTTTTTGTTAGTGTAAATCGCCGGTACAAACTCTTGCGGCCTTTAGGTGAAGAGTCTGATGGTGTCTCTGGTGGTAGCAACCATAGTTCACAGCTACTGTTAACTGGTCATAATGATGATCTAGTCTTTTACGCTTTACGCCAAACCGATGATGCCGATGCTGATGATGGTGTTTGACGATGATGATGATGACGCTGCTGTTTCTGTTAAACTGCGATGACGGTTGGCTGTTTCTGCGGGGTCTTAGAAGCTGAGCTGAAATGATGCGGTGTTTTTGTGGGAGCTGGTATAAAACTAAAATGTTGGCAGATTTTTTTAGCTTTTTGATTACAACCAGACGCGAAGTAACACGTGCAGCAGCAAAGCAAGCGCGTAAAAACAGTCCCCCCAATAAATAAATATCCCTTCATTGTTGGAAAACAAGTGTTTGAGTAATTGAAAATGTGCGTAATTTAAAAAAATGTATCCAAATTAAATGTAAAGACAATTTAAAAAAAATTCAATAAAAAAAAACGATATAAACCTCAGAATTTAGCAATATCCAGACATGGTGTCACGTAACAAATCTAAAGAATCATTGGATTTGAATAAAAAAGAATAATTTTTTTTATTTTATTATTATTGTGGTTGATTTCATGAACAAACGTGAGAATATCCATCCACCTGAAGAAGTTAACCGAAGAAGACAATCGAATTGTTGTTCGCCCAAAAAACCAAAAATATATATTTATGTAATGATTGCATAATAAATTTTCAAAGTACACTACAATATTGATGAAATAGCAAAACATCCTTTCCAATTTGGCAATGGAATGAACGAACGAACTTTCAATTTGTTTGATGTGTTTTTTTGTTCGTTCGTTAAGAACATCAACGTTTATCCTCAACACCATCGAACGAACCCTTTACTTCTTCTGTTTCTTTAGTTATTTGTGTATCGTGTAAACAAACCATCTATCAATCTTCTATTATTTTTCTGTTTTTTTTCCTACATTGTGTTTATGTGTGTGTGTATATATTTTCCAGACATCAAAACACAATCACCCAACATCAAACGATCGGCAACCAACCAACCAACCAACAACAGCAGCAGCATCACCATCATCAACAACATCATCTTCCTTTGAACAGTTCAACCGAACATTGCCACAGACAAATTATGGCCCACAAATTTAACTGCAACAATTTTAAGACACTCCAAAGCAGCACCAACAACAAGAACCACAACAGCAGCATGAGCCGCAAAGTTTCATCCACATCATCAGCCATTGTCAGAGGCTGGCAACCACATTGCAGGCATCATCTTCGTTTCCAGCTACCTCAAATTGCCGTAGCCGCTACTGTCATTTTTGGTTTGCTATTCTCCAGCATTTGTGTCAGTGGGGTAAGTACGAATATTAATTCAACTATGACTGCAATTGGTTCGTTCCGATCTGCAACAGCTACATACATACATGGCTAACACTTTGACTTTGTCGGTCTGTCCTTTCAACTTTGGGGGGGCTGTTGCACAGTGGTGTGAAAATAAAAATGAAGGAAGGAAGGAACCTTAATGTTGTACATAGCTCCCCTATAGGGATGATTCCTTCCCATTGTCTGAAGATTTTCGTTGCATTTTAATACGTAGCTACCATATAAAGTTCCCTCCGCATTATCCATCTGTCAAGATGTTTTTCAACCCTTCGGCATATATCTAAATGCTGATAAACCTTTAACAAATCGTGCGCAATTTTTATATGGTGTTTGGATCGCGAAAATATCCACCATTATATGTATATATTCAAAAACATCGAATACCAAATTTCAGCCCATACGGTTGTGAAAATAATTCGGTGCTGTTATATGGCGGATATGCCACATGTTTAATACGAAACCTACCCCGTTATAGAAAACGTCCCTCTGACTGGCTGGCTGGCTGGTGCGCATGACCACATGTTTCATTGGATCATACTCGATTCAGACAATATGGAGTCGATTTAGTAATGTCCAGTATGTCTGGCTGGTAATTTAATATTTATGCGTACAAAAAGTACTAAATGGTACTATATTTGGTAATAGAACTAGAATTCGTAAATTTGGAACGAGGGTCAATAATGGAGTGAAGGATGGATGTACCAAAGGGTTTTTCTTTGGAAATTCGAACTATAAGTATTCGAAAAGTACTAAAACGTACTAAAATTTGGTACAATTTCGTAGCATGTGAAGGGATAGAGCTAAAAACTTGAAATTTGGAATGTGAATGAAGGTTGAGAAGTACGGTCGATAAAAGATAGTTGTTTTGGGGGTGTGTACTTATAAATACGAAAAGTACTAAATAGTACTAAATTTGGTACAATTACAAATTGGAGCTGGAATTCTGAAACTTTAAATAAGCTTTACCGTCGTAGTGTAGGATTGGAATATGTAGGTAGTTTTGGAAATTATTTACTTATGTGTACGAAAAGTATTAATTGGTACTATATTTGGTACAATTTGTATTTAAGTGAACCAATATTAACATTGCGAAATAAGAGTACTAATGCATTGTTGAATTGGTGTATGTCGGTAGTTTTTGTAGTTTTCGTACCTATGTGTACTAAATTTTGTACAATTTCAAATTTGGGTTAACCAATAGAGCTGGAATCCGAAACATCGGAGTGTAAAATAGACGTACCAAAGGGTTTTTCTTTGGAAACAAGTATCCGAAAAGTACTAAATTTGGTACAATTTCGTAGCATGTAAACGGATCGGGCTAAAAAATTTAAAAATGGGAATGTGAATCCGGAATGAGAAGTAAGATCGATATAAGGAGGTGGACTTGGAATTGGGCTTGGTGTTGTGTACAGTTGGAATTTGGAGGAACGGATGGAGCTGGAATTCTGATATTTGTAATTCCGATTACGCAGTGTAGGATTGGGATATGTAGGTAGTTTTGGACATTTGTACTTATGTGTACGAAAACTATTAATGGGTACTAAATTTGGTACAATTTGGATGAACCGATAGAGCTGGCACACAGAAATTTGGACATAAGATAACTGTTGGAGTGTAAGATTGGAATCCTGAAATTTGGAGTTATGATCACTGTTGGATGTAGGATTAACGTATGTAGCTAGTTTTAGAAATTCGTACTAATTTGTACTAAATTTGGGTTTGGGTGATCGGATAGGGCTGGTATCCTCAATTTGGGACATATGATTTCTATTGGATTGTATTTTATAGGCAATTATGAAAATGTATACATATTTGTACTAAATGGTACTAAATTTGATACAACTTGGATTTAGGTGATCCGATTGACCTGGAATACTGAAATTTGGGATTAAGTTACGGTTAGAGTGTAGTATTGGGGTATGGATGTAGTTTTGGATATTTGTATGTATGGGTACTAAATTTGAAACAATTTGGATTTAGGTGAAACGAAGTTGAACTGCAGGATTGGATGTTCTGGAAATATGTATGTGTACTAAATTTGGTACAATTTGGGTGTGGTTGAACCGATAGGACTGCAATCCCGAAATTGGGATATACGATTTCTATTGGATTGTAGTATATAAGTAGCTATGGAAATTTGTATTTATGTACTAAATGGTACTAAATTTATTACAACAAGAATTTGGGTGAACCGTTGGAGCTTTAATTCTGAAATTTACAATTAAATTGCTGTTGGAGAACAGGATCGGGATATGAATGTAGTTTTGGAAATGTGTCCTTATGGGTACTAAGTGGTACTAAATTTGATACAATTTTGACTTAGATGAAACGATAGAGCTTAAATTCTGCATTTCGGAAATCAGATTCCCGTTGAAGTGTAATTCTGTTGGAGTACAGGATTGGGTAATGGATGTAGTTTGGAAATTCGTCCTTATGGGTACTAAGTGGTACTAAATTTGATACAATTTGGACTTAGATGAAACGATAGGGCTCGAATTCTGCATTTTGGAAATCAGATTTCCGTTGATGTGGTTTGTGGATGTAGGTTCTTATGGAAATTTATATTAATTTTTAGTATGTACTAAATTTGGTACAATTGATAGGTTCAATTGAGAGCGGGCATTTTGAAGTTTTGGAAATAAGTACTACAGGTTTTGTTTCAAATTATCAAATTATAATCGTTGAGACATGTTAAAATATTTCCCACTTTCGCTAACGAAGTAGCGGGCATATGCTAATTAATTTTATAAAACTATGCGAACCGAATACCCGGTTTGAACAAAACTTATATTTTAACCAATGTGTGTAATGCTTGAAAATATAACATATTGCTTCATTTTGTCTAGGGTCAACTTTTTCAAAATTTGCTCATGTACATAATGCGAGTGGGGTGTTCGATTTGATCCAAGCTTTGCAAACCGTAATATTTTTACAAAGCCGAGGATGGAAATTTTCAGCCCACTCATTCTGTAAAGTAAATATTTTAAAATCTGTTTAGTTACTAAACTGGTTATTGGGGGTTTTCACCCTACATAATCTTTCACCATCTATATGGGCATATATACATTCGTAAATACGACTGCCTGTCCTTTTGGGCCATGTCATCATTTTCATTTTCAATGAGGATTGCCTCCCCCCAAAAACACTGATCTTAACATAAAGATCATGTATTTTGTCTTGTTTTATTCTGTTTTTTTTTATTTTTTCAAAAAAACATTACATCAAATTGGTTTTTATTATTGTTTGTGTCTACAACTGACTATCTACGACTATTATTACTGCTACCGCAGACATTTTTGTTATTGTACTTTTTGGCAGATTCAGTTTAGAAGCGTAAAACCGAAAAATGGAAAATAAAGCCAAACAAAAAAAAAAAAAAAGAAAAAAAGTGAAGGCAACCATCATCATCTATCTAAATGTTAATTTTATTAGCTGAGACCATTTTGAAGTTGAAGTCTTGAGTATTTGGCAGAAATTGTAGAGGGGGAGAGATGATGATGATGGGATGAGTAGATGAATGGCTGAGCGAATGAATAGTTAGATGGATGTGTAGTTAATTCCATGAGAATCTTTGTGTTTCATTGCAACTTCATGTATATTAAAAAACTTTTATTTTGGGAACATGTTGGGTATATCATTTTAGGTTTTAATTTCATTAGTATAGGTATATGTTTTCTTGGAAGTGATTTGGTGTGTGTAAGACAATTGAAAATTGTTCGTTAAATGATCTCCTACAGATAGATAGACTCCAAACATTTTCTGAAAATAGAAGATCGTTTTATTTTTTTTATATGTTTGTAAAAGATTTGCATAAGTCTGGAAGCACTTTCACTTTTTTAAATTATACTACACGAATTAGTTCTTTTCATACACATGAGGTAATTTATAATGAGAATTTATAATGCTACCTTTCGGACTGGTGTGTACGAAGGAAGTAACCGATTTCATCCAAATTCTACATATCGGAACCTTTTTTTCAAACTTAAATCAAATTCACTCCATCAAAAATTTATTTGATTTGATCTTTATCAATGCCTTGTCATCGATGCCAAATTTGTGTAAATCGATTTATAGCACACTTGATACACACTAGTCGGTAATATCAATATCTGCATTTGCACCCTTACTTACTTAGCTGGCTTGTTACAGAACGGTTGTTCCATAGGCCGAGCTTAAAAAAAAAATTCCAAGCGCGTCGGTTCTGTGCGCAAATCCACCAATTTGGAAGACCACGTTCCAAGATATTGTTTTCTACTTGGTCTTTCCATCTAGTTCGTGGCCTTCCCCTACTACGGGAACCATCAATAGACTCGTTTTATATGCCTTTTGAGCTGAGGCATTCTCATTCATCCGCACAACATGGCCTCGCCACCGTAGTCGCTGCAACTCAATACGACTGACTATGTCGATGTCCGCGTATAAATTGTAAAGCTCGTGGTTCATTCGAAGCCGATATTCACCGTCGATGCAAATCGGCCCGTAGATCTTTCGGAGAAATTTTCTTTCAAACAATCCAACAGCTGCCTCATCTGCTTGCGCAAGGACCCATGCTTCAGATCCATATAACACCACGGCTAGTATCAGGGTCTTGTATATAGTGAGTTTGGTCTGGTGAGAGGTGGCCTTGTTTCTGAACTGCTTACTTACACCATAGTAGCAGCTCTTGGCCATGACAATCCTGCTCCGAATTTCAAAACTGATGTCATTCGTTTTATTTATGGCGGTACCAAGGTATATAAAATCTTTAACTAACTCAAAACTGCAGTTCTCAAGTTCCACAGTTGGTCCGAGTCTACAGCTTGGTCTTCTCGCCGTTTACTGCCATCTGCACCCATTACACAAAAAAAAAACGCAATAACGTCATTCTAGTCTAAATTGTAGATAGTAGATATAATTAAATCTGAACCAATTTGCAGGAAAATTAACACACATAATTCTAGACTTCAGTCAGTACTCTATACATAATTTCGT